AAACAACTGCACCTCCCAGTCGCGAACCATTTCAACTCCCCCTCCCATTCCTCAGACGACATGTCCATCCTGGGCCTCCTGCAGTGCCACAACGATGCCACCCGAAGGTTGCAGGAACAGCAACTCATATTCCGCTTGGGAACCCTGCAGCCCAATGGTATCAATGTGGATTTCACAAGTTTCAAAATCTCCCCTCCCCCTACCGCATCCCAAAACCAGTCCAGCTCGTCCCTGCCTCCCTAACCTGTTCTTCCTCCCACCTATCCCCTCCTCCCACCTCAAGCCGCACCTCCATCTCCTACCGACCAACCTCATCCCGCCCCCTTGACCTGTCCGTCCTCCCTGGACTGACCTATCCCCTTCCTAACTCCCTACCTACACTCACCTTTCCTGGCCCCATCCCCACCTCTTCGACCTGTTTGTTTCCTCTCCACCTATCCTCTCCTCTATCCCTCTTCTATCCGCCTCCCACTCTCTCCCTATTTATTTCAAAACCCCCTCCCCCTTTTCTGATGAAGGGTCTAGGCCCGAAACGTCAGCCTCTCTGCTCCTATGATGCTGCTTGGCCTGCTGTGTTCATCCAGCCCTGCACCTGGTTGTCTTGCAATGTAAACACAACGGGTTGTTGTTAGCTAAAGCAGCTTCAGTCACCTCGCAGCCATTTCGTGCCCTGTGCTGACTCACCGGTGAAGGGCCAGTGCTTGATGTCTGTCTGCACCATTGGGTCGTCGAAGTTGCGGCCGATGAGCCTCTTGGCGTCGAAGACGGTGTTGGTGGGGTTCATGGCCACCTGGTTCTTGGCTGGGTCACCGATCAACCGCTCGGTGTCGTTGAAGGCCACATAGCTGGGGGTGGTGCGGTTCCCCTGGTCGTTGGCTATGATTTCCACCTTTCCATGCTGGAAGACGCCGACGCACGAGTAAGTGGTGCCCAGGTCGATACCGACGGCTGGGGAATGAGCCGCCATAGCACCGACTAACGGCCACAACGGAACCAAGGGCAGCAGGCAGCTGTCCGTTTGCCCCGCTCGAGCCTTTTATATTCACACCGCCGCCATTTTGATTTCCCGCTTCTCACCCTTCTGGCCAATCAGAACGCCGCATTTCCGCGGGCGATCACGTGGGGTCACTGACGCGTGCGGTCGTCAACCATTCCGACTGTGCTGTTTCGGTGTTCCCACGTGGGGCAATGATGCAGCCAGTCGACGATCTTCCAAACCTGGCGTCAATTTCGCCCGGCACATCGGCCAACGGACGTTTCCGACCAGTCCAAAGAAGGAACGCGTTTCATTGGAGCGTGCGAAGAGGGCGGGGCCACAGCGCCGGCCGTTTCGCGTGTTTGGGAAGGGGGTGGGGTTTAAGCCCACATGGGGCAGACCTAGAAGGATCCGTGATTGGACAAACGGACGCTCAATGGACAGTGCGGAAGGCGGGAGTTTGAGTGGTTACATTCGCTGCTGGATACAACGGGGCCTCGTGGCTAGTGGAGGTGGGAAATGGACAACCTCATTGCAACTTACCCTGAAACTGCCCTAAAACTACTGTCTTTTTCAAGGTCCCTTACTCACTGCAGAGAGAAAGGGAGAAGAAAATTACTAATTTAAAAAACTTGACGGGTACACTGTCCTTGGATAACTGGAACATGAAGGTTAATTACAAGGGAAGTTTGATCATACCCATGGTTATGTATCTTGGACTGTACATGTTTAAAGGTGTCTAAATCCTAAAGGGTCATTTGGCTGGCACTATTTTATATTCATTCACAGGAGATGGAAATCACTGCTTTCTTCATCCACCATAAGACCATAAAAAAATTTTGACCCCTCGAAACCGCTCCATCATTCAATAGGGTCATGGCTGAATGACAATCTTTCCAGCCTTTGCCCCTTAACCATTGATTCAAGGATCTTTCTAGCTGTGCCTTAAATGTACCCAAAGAATCTGCTTCCACAGCTATCTGTGGCAAGGTGTACCAAAGATACTGAACCCATCAAGAGAAGGTCGTGCTTACACTGGAGGGGGGCAGAGGAGATTCACCAGGATGTTACCTGGGATGAAAAGTCTCAGTTATAAGGAGAGAATGTTTTCCTTGAAGCTGAGGAGGCTGCAGGAAGATCTAAGGTATACTAAATTATGAGAGGCATAGATAGGGTAGATCATGGTAATCTATTATTTCCCTATTATGTTCCCTATTATAGATGTCTCTAAGATGAGGGCATAAGTTGAAGGTGAGAAGCAAGTGGTTTAGAGCAGATCTGAGAAAAATAAATCATCCACAGGGTGTTAGAAGTATGGAAGGTGCTGCCTGAGAGGATGGTGGAGGCAGGTATTCTCACAACATTAATGAAGCATCTGGATGACTACTTAAAATGCTGGTATATAGTTGGCTATGAGCCAAGTGCAGGTAACTGGGATTAGTGTAGTTTGGTGTTTGTTGATCGGCTTTAACATGGTGGGCTGAAGGACCTGTTTCTACACTTTGTAACTCTATGAGAAGAAATTCCTCCTCATCTCAGTCTTAAATTGGTGCTCCTTTATTCTGAGACTATGCCGTCTGGTCCTATACACTCCCATGAGAGGAAACATGCTCCCATTATTTATCTTATCAAGCCCCTTAAGAATCCTATATGTTTCAATGAGATTACCTCTCGTGATTCTAAACTGCAGTGAGTAGAGTCCCAACCTGGTTAACCTTTGCTCATAAAACAATCCCTCCATATAGAGGATGATCTTAGTGAACCGTCTCCAAACTGCCTCCAATGAAATACTATCTTTACTTAAATGAGGGGAGCAAAATTGTTCACAGTACTCCAGAAGAAAACAGACCTGTGGATGCTGGAGATCTGAAACAGAAACAGAAATTACTGGCAAAACCCAGCAGATGTGGCAGCATCAGACTGCGGGCAAGACGGTGTCAGAGTGGGGCTCAACTGATTTATCTTCTCTTTTGTTTCATCTTTTATCTCTCTTCTTGTGTTTTCCTCTCCTTATACCTTTACATACCTCTTGTTCTGAGCTCAGATGGCGTTGGCGGTGGCAAAAGCCCACCACAGACCTTGAGCACGGACCTTGCATGAGCCCAACACGGACCTCCAGCAAACCAAATGCATGGACCCAGTGCGCAGACCTCGAGTGAGACCTTGAGTGGGCACAGCATGGGCCTTGAGTGGCCCAGAGTGGACCTTGAATGGGCCCAGTGCATGGATTTCAAGTGAGCCTAGTGCAGACCTTGAGCAAGCCCTTACTTATTTTTCCAGGGGGACCACAGGACCTGGCAGTGGAACATTTTTCATTCATTAATGGGATGAGGGCATCACTCTCTAGACAGCATTTATTGCCCCTCCCTAATTGCCCAGAGGGCAGTTCAGAGTCAACCACATTGCTGTGGGTCTGGAGTCACATGTAAGCCAGACCAGGTAAGGATGGCAGTTTCCTTCCCAAAAGGACATTAGTGAACCAGATGGGTTTTTCCAACAATATACAATGGATTCACAGTTATCATTATATTGTTAATTCCAGATATTTTATTGAATACAAATTCCACCACGAACCCGGGTCCCCAGGCAATTATCTGGGTCTCTGGATTAACAGTCCAGCGATAATACCACTAGGCCATCGCCTCCCCTGAATTAGCAGCTGCTACATCGGTAGATGCGATGGTAGGCCCAGTGGCAAAAGATGGCACCTTAGCTTCAGAGACTTTGTCGTTGGTTGGGTTTGGCGGTGGCAGAAGGGCATCACAGCAACATCGAGGTGGCCCAGCGGTTGTAGACCTGACTCTAACATTGATTTGGCCAGCAGAGGCTGTGGTGAGGTGGTGCTGCAGGAATATCGGCCCAGTGGCGAAGATGGCACCTGAGGATCGGCAACTTCGATGTTGGTTGGGTTCGGTGTAGATGGTGGCGAAGAGGTGGACTAGGGATGGCAGTGCAGGCATCATTGATGGTGATAAGATGGCTCTCTTTATGTGATTGATCCTCTTTAAACTATATCTTTTCTTTTTCTTTATTCACAAGGTATTGAAAATGGCACCTAATTGTGGCAATAGATGAAAGCTTTATTATACATTAATGATTTGGACAAAGGAATTGAATGCCATATCTCCAAATATGCAGATGACACTAAGCTGGGTGGCAGAGTGTGCTGTAAGGAGGATGCTAAGAGGCTGCAGGGTGACTTGGACAGACTGGCTGAGTGGGCAAATACAGGCAAAATCAATACAATGTGGTTAAATGTGAGGTTATCCACTTTGATTGCAAAAACAGGAAGGCAGATTATGATCTGAATGGTGGAGGTTCAGGAAAAGGTGAGGTGCAATGAGACCTGGATATCATGGTGGAACAATCGGTGAAGGTTGGCATGCAGGTGCAGCAGGCAGTGAGGAAAGCTAATGGCATGCTGGCCTTCATAGTGAGAGGGTTTGAGCATAGGAGTAAAAATGTCTTGCTGCCCTTATACAGGGCCTTGGTGAGGCCACACCTTGAGGATTGTGTGCAGTTTTGGCCCCTAGTCTGAGGAAGGACATTCTTGTTATTAAGGGAGTCCAGCGAAGGTTCACCAGACTGATTCCCGGGATGGCAGGACTGACCTATGAGGAAAGACTGGATCAACTGAGCTTGTACTTGGTGGAATTTTAGAAGAATAAGGGGGAAATCTCATAGAGACATGTAAAATCCTGATGACTGGACAGGCCAGTTGTGGGAAGAATGTTCCCAATGTAGGGGAAGTCCAGAACTAAGGGTCACAGTTTAAGAATAAAGGACTAAGATGAGGAAGAATTCCTTCACTCAGAGAGTTGTGAACCTGTGGAATTCTCTCCCACAGGAAGCTGTTGGGGCCAGTTCATTAGATATATTGAAGAGGGAGCTGGATATGGCCCTTGCAGCTAAAGGGATCAAAAGGTATGGAGAGAAAGCAGGAATGGGATATTGAAATTGCACGATCAGCCATGATCATATTGAATGGTGGTGCAGGATCAAAGGGCTGAATGGCCTACTCCAGCACCTATTGTCTATGTTTCTATGTATTCTTACTGTAAAATACACATGACAATAAAATCATTCATTCGTCTGTAGCAAGACAGCAGAACCAATGTTTCAAGTCTGGCAACTGATGACAATGTTCTGATGAAGATCATCCCAGTACCAAAGAAGACACATGCAACTTGTCTCAGTGACTACTGCCCAGTGGCTCTGACCTCCATGATCTTGAAGTGCTTCAAGAGGCTGGTCATGGCCCACATCAACTCTAGCCTCCCATCCTGCCTCAATCCCCTGCAATCTGACTACCAACTCAACAGGTCCACAGTGGATGCCATTTCCCTAGTCCTACGCACATCCCTGGCACATCTGGATAACAAGGACACCTACATCAGACTCGCAGTCATCGACTACAGCTCCAATCTCAAAACTCCAACAGCTAGGACTTGGCTCTGCAGCTGGATCCTCAGCTTCCTGACCCACAGACTCCTATCAGTGAAGATAGAAAACAGCACCTCCTCCACAATAATCCTCAACCCTGGAACCCTGCAAGGTTGTGTTCTCAGCCCCCTTATTGTACTCCCTGTGCACCCACAACTGTACAGCCAAATTCCAAATGAATGCCAAATACCTGTTTGCTAATAACACCACCATGGTAGGACGGATATCAAACAACCATGAGTCAGAATACAGAAAGGAGATAGAGGGCTTGGTGACATGGTGCAATGAGAATAACCTCTCTCCCAATATTGGCAAAACTAAAGAACTGATCATTGACTTCACGAAGAAAGGAGGACGACACACCCCCACCTACATTAACGGAGCTGAGGTGGAGAGGGTCGAGACCATCAAGCTCCTAGGGGTGATGATAACTGACAATCTATCCTGGACTTCCCACATAGATGCTGCGGTCAAGAAGGCACAACAACGCCCCTTCTTCCTCAGGCAGCTTAGGAAATTCAGCATTGTCCAAAAGGACCTTCACCAACTTCTACAGAAGCACCATAGAAAGCAAACAGTCTGGTATAGCAACTGCTCTGTCCAGGACCATAAGAAACTACAGAAGGCTATGTGCACAGCCCAGACCATCACAGAAGCCAACCTCCCATCCATGGATAACAAGGTGTAGAGCTGGATGAACACAGCAGGCCAAACAACATCAGAGGAGCAGGAAGGCTGACGTTTCGGGCCTAGACCCTCCATGGATGCCACTTATACTTCTCGTTGCTGCAGAAAGGCTGACAATATCATAAAAGACCCCTCCCACCCCAGTAATCTACTCTTCCATCAGGCAGAAGATACAGAAGCTTGAACACACTGACCAACAGGTTGAAGAACAGCTTCTTCCCTGCCATTATTAGACTGCTGAATGGACCTCCCTAACTTCAAATAATGTTGATCTTGCTTTGCGCACCTCCTGTGCAGTGTAACTGTATGCCTCACTCTAAATACCTTATGGTCTCTATGTCCTTATTTGCTATGATCTGCCTGTACTAGTCACAAAACAGAGCTTTTCACTGTACACAGGTACAATAAATTAAATCAAAAGTGTGACTGGTCTCAAAATGTTAACTCGGCTTTCTTCCCACTTTCTTCCCATCTCTGGATGTGTCTCACCAGCACCTGGTGCAGTTGTAGTAAGACTTCCCTGCTCTTACAAGGGGAGGCAATGGCCTAGTGGTATTATCACTGGACTGTTAATCCGGAGACCCAGATAAAGTCCTGGGGACCTGGCTTTGAATCCCGCCACAGCAGATGATGGAATTTGAATTCAGTAAAATATCTGGAATTAAGAATCTAATGATGACCATGAACCCATTGTCGATTGTTTGGAAACCCCCCGCTGTGTATCATATAAGAGTAAGCATTGTGCAGATGGTGCACACCGAGTATCAGTTACTTCTGGATCGGGTGCCAATGAAGTGGGCTGCTTTGTCCTGGGGCTGCACCCATCCAGGCGAGTGGGGAATATTCCATCACACTCCTGAAATTGGTGATCTTGATGAGATACAAAGTCAGAAGGTCAATCAGGGTCGTAAAGATGATTATGGGATGGAAGCCAAGTTTGATGTATCATGAACAGGCTGATGACTCCTGTGCTGGTGAAACTGTGACCGTTCTGGGGTAAGAGAGTGGGTGAAGGAGTATACTGAGGGCAAGGAAAACACATTGCAAAAACAAACAACATAAATAGGACTCCCAGTTAGTGTTGCTGCATACGTACTGAACATTTTATTAAAAATGGAATAAAAAATACTCTACCGCCAGTCTCTAAACAGGACATCGATTCATAATTGACTTTTTTGTACTGCTACTGTAAGGCGAGATCCAATGAATCAGCTGGTTACAACCTGCAAACATTCTGACTCCTTAAATCAGCAATGTTGTCTTCTGATTGTCCAAAATTGGCGATGAAAGGGACAGCACACAACATCCAAGAAATCAAGTGAAAGACAGAGATGGCTGATGAAGAGGGAGGGAGGCACAGAGAACTGGTAAAAGAATTGCCTGGAAAGCAGCTGCTGCTATATTCTTGGAGTGAGTGCTCGGATCCCATGGCTCCTCTCATCATCACCGGGGGGGGGGGGACACACAGGAAGTTGGTAAGAGACCCTGCAATCAAGAAGCTCCAGGACAGCAGACCTGGCTCTGGGACATTAGAGTCAGATTACTCCATCAGCACCAGCCACTGTTCAATCCTGCAGGTCAAACAAGGCAAGGGAATACAGAACGACCAGTGGGACACCGTGATGCACTGAGGATCAGAGGGACCTTGCTTTGCATGTACACCAGTCCCTTATGGTAGCAGGACTGGTCGATAAAGTGGTCAAGGTGGCATATGGGTTACTTGCCTTTATTAGTCAAGGCACAGAGTTCAAGAGCAGGGAGGTTATGCTAGAACTGTTAAAAAAAAACTTTGGTTAGGCCACACCTAGAGCATTGTGTGCAGTTCTGGAATCCACATTATAGGAGGGATGCGATAGCACTGGAGGGTGCAGAAGGAGATTTACCAGGATATTGCCTGAAGAGTGATTGGACAGACCGGGAGCACAGGAGCCTGGAAGTGGGGAGGTGGGGAACATGATTGAGATGTATAAAATTATGAAGGGCACAGATAAGGTAGACACGAAGAAAATTTTCCCATTGATGGAGGGATTGACAACCGGGGACATAAGGAAATACTTTTATACTCAAGAGTGGTGAGAATCTGGAACTCACTGCCTGTAAGGCTGGTAGAGGGAGAAACCCCCATCACATTGACAAAGTGTTTAGATGTGTAACTGTGATGTCAAGGCATTCAAGCTGATAGGCCAAAGGCCTTTTTCCATGCCACAGAGATCTAAGACTCAGCTTCCTGTCTGCTACTTTTACTAATTACAGCCACTCTGTATCCTTCCTCTGGAAGCAGTTTCTGGTTACCCTGTCAGAAACCTAGACAGTAATTTGGAATGCAGCATTCAAATCTTCCCTTAACTGTCTCTGCTTCAAACAGAACAATTCGGCCTTCTCCAGTTGATGTTTAGACACAGGTCGAGATGTAAAAGCAGTGTTGTGGATGCTGGAGATCTGAAACAAACACAGAGAATGCTGCAGGAACTCAGTAGGTCAGCGTAGAACAGAATTAACTTTCAGAACTTAAAGAAAAGTCATACCAGATTTGAAACATTAATTCTGTTTCTCTCTCCAGACCTGCTGAGTTTCTCCAGCATTCTGTTTTTATTTCAGGTTCACATGTCCCTCTGTCAGTTGTCACTCCCAGTGCTGCTGCACAACAAAAACCTGTTACTGAGTGTTTGACAGAATCGCAGGAACACTCGCTGACTGAGAAATAAAAGTAGACTGTCATTCAGAAATGGAAAAGGTGGACATTATTTCAAAAATACAGTGCATTCCTACAGCCACGTGCAAATTGTCGATCGCCATTACAATGGAGAAAGCACCATCCAGGTCTTGGTTCCCAAATTTCACATAATAATCAGTGAGATATACTTGATAAATCTGAGCATTACATTATGGAATTAAAGTCACCAGTGTCAGCTCCTCCTTTGTATATCAGTGATACTGAGTCAAACCATCCTATAGTATCCCCGGTCCTGAGAAATATGATCTCACTTTGAGTTAGTAATGGTGACAGTTGGAGCGAGGGACATTTCTGAAGACTTTGAAACATTAACTCTGTTTATCTCTTTGCTGCTGGACCTGCTGAATTTCTCCAGTGTCCGTCGTAATGTTCTGGGAAGTGGTTGTGGTGGGGGGGGGGGGCGGGGCACATGGTGAACACCGGGCCGTGCTGTGATCAGTTCTCCTGTGGATAGCATGGGTGAGGGCTCCACCAGTGCAACCAAAAAGGTGATGGGGTTGGGGAGAGGAATCATCCCACTGAAGACAGATTCCAGGCAGATTTACAGCAGGTCCAGCAGAATACTTTAGGAGGTGAGGAGGAGGACAGGGGATGGTCACTCACAGCTTTTTGGTGTGGCTGGTCAGATGGTGCATAGTCAGCTCCTTCTTCAGTTTGAACTTGTCCCCACACAAGGTACAGGTGTGAAGGTGGACATCGGTGTGACGCTCCAGCAGCTCCCCATCCCCAAACACCTGGAAGCAGACCTCGCAGATGACCTCTTGGCCCACCAGGTGGGACACCATGTGCCGTAGGTGGTCATGCTTGCGGTAGCTGCCCTGGCCGCACCTAGGGCAGACATAGCGGGCATCCCCCCGGTGCATGTCCAGGTGCAGTCGAAGCAGACGCTCCCGCAGGAACTCCTTGCCGCAGATCTGGCATGCGAACTCCTTCTCCTTGGTGTGGGTGGTGAAGTGCTCCCGCAGGTGGCACCGCTGGTAAAAGGCTTTGCCGCAGAGGTTACACACATGTTTCCGCCTGTCCACCCTCTCCGGTGGGGTCTCGCGGGGTGCCTGGCCGAACATGCAGTGGGAGACGTGCTCCACCCACAGCTTCTCCTGGTCGAAGGCCCGGGCGCACTGCGAGCACTGGAAGGGGCGGCCGACGTGCCGGTACATGTGCTCCTGCAGCTGGCACCGCTGCTTGAAGCTGGCCCCGCACACGTGGCAGGTGAACCTGGCCAGCTGTGGGCCCGGGGGCGGGTCTCCGGGCAGCGCTGGGTTGGAAGGGGGAGCGGGCTGCCCTCCGTCGGCCTGCCAGGGGTACAGGACGTCATTGCCCCCCAGGCAGCGCTCGGCGTGGTCCTGCAGGTGCCCCCCCTTCACCAGGAGCCTGCCACACTTGCCGCAGGCGCACACGCTATCCACATGATGGGCCACATAGTGGGCAGTGCGCTCACTCTCGGGCAGGGCCACCCCACAGAGCTCACAGGCTGGGCCCAGGGGGCTGCTGTCTCCTCCCTCCCGTGGCTCCATCTTCAAGGTGCCCCCTTCCTCCTCCTCTTCCTCCTCCTCGTCCTCTTCCTCTTCCTCCTCGTCCTCCTCCTCCTTCTCGGCCCACTTGGGGTGACCCTCCAATGCCCGGTGCCCACCGCTGCCCCCCGCCGGGAAGTGGGCGCGGAGTTTGCCAGCTCCCTCGAGGGGGGCCAGGGCCTCCTCCTCCTCCTCCTCCTCCTCGTCTGAGGCGAGCTCGCCGTCATCCGCCACCTGCACCACGGTGATGTCGCGCAGGTCGACGGCCGCCATGTCCTCGGGCTCCGTCTTCACCGCCAGGTGGCCGCCGTTACCCTCAGGCGGCGTCGGCAGCTCCTCCGAGTCGGGCCGCCCGCTGGGACCCGCCTTTTGGGGCTGGCCCTCGTGCTCCGGCCCGTCGCAAGGCGCGGGGGCGCGCCGGCTGTTGCAGGTCAGCGCATGCTCGTTGAGCAGCTTCTCACAGCTGAAGACGAAGCCGCAGCAGTCGCACGTGTAGCGCTTGCCGAAGCGGGGGTGAAGCCTGCCCTTTGGGCCCGGGCGACCCTGCTTCCGGGCTGGGGCCTCGGAAACGGCCGGGGGTGGTAGCTGGGGAGCCGTGGGGGCGTTGCACAGCCCGTTCACCTCGGGGCTCGGTTCCCGCCGCCTCCTCTTGCTTGGCTCCCCCGGCGGCTCCTCGTACATCCGCACCCCGAACATCATGGCGCCTCTCGGCTGCTGGGCCACAGCCGCTGGCGGGGACAGCGCGGCCTTGCTGTCGCTCTGCTGCTGAAGCTCGTCCAGGCTCTTGGGTACGTAGTAGAGCTGTAGGAAGATCATGGCGGATCGCAGCTCCTCAAAGTCCGAGGGGACACCGACCAGCCTCCCCAGGTACATGATCTGCAGGATGAGGTCGAAGCACTCGGCACTGATGTTGACATTGCTCAGGCTCAGGTTCCCCGTCAGCTGCTGCTGGCTGATGAACATCATTCGGAAATAGGAGCTGCACGCAGTCAGCACGGCACGGTGAGCTCGGAAGTAGATGTCATTAATGATGATGCAGCAGTCGCACAGAAAGCCCCACTCCCTCTGATTGTTGAGCTGTTGGAGAACGTACTCACTGTGACTCAGCCTTGGCATCGTGGACCCAGCCGCTGGTCCAGTCAATCAACCCAGCCCCTGCAAGGAAGCAGAAAGTTTAACCAGTGATTTCTGAAGAAGGGTCTCGGCCCGAAACGTCAGCCTCTCTGCTCCTCTCATGCTGCTTGGCCTGCTGTGTTCATCCAGCTCTGCACCTTGTTATCTCGGATTCTCCAGCATCTGCAGCTCCTACTATCTCAGAGTTTAACCAGTGCCGCAGATTAACGAGGAGAATCGGTGAACCAGGCTGCCCATTCATTCCACACTGGCCCTTTCAAAAAGCAAAGCAATTAGACCTATTCCAATCCCACCACTCCCCAGCACTCATGAAGATCCTTTTGTCTAACTTCCTCAGAAAGGCTACGATGGATCTGACGTTCTAACGCTAGCCCCAGAGTCTGCAACCAGCTGCTCAGGAGCTCCTTGGCCACCATTTCCAACTGGGTAACATTCACCTGAAAAAGGTCAATGTGCATTCAAATTAAAGCCATCAGTTAGACAAGACAGTCTCATCACTGACTTCATAAAACTCAGCGTATGTAAATAATGAGGACATATAAATTCACAGCGTGCCATTCTGCCCCATCACACCTGCTCTCCATCACTAGAGAAGATTATGACTCTTCTGAATGTAAGGTCAACTCCGTGTGCTCACCTACCGTGCCAATAACTATTCACTTCCTTGTCAGACAGCCTATGCATGTCAACCTTAAAAATATTCAAGGACTCTGCATCCAGCACCTTTTCAGTGATAGAGGAATTCCAAAGACTCATGAGCTTCAAAAAAAAATTCACCTCATCTTGGTTTTAAATGGGTGACCCCTGATTTGTAAACAGTGATCCTCTGATTCTTGAATCCTTTACAAGAGGATTCCTCTTCACATCCACCTGGTTAAGTCCCTCTGGATCTTTATGATATTTCAATCAAGTTACGTTGTGCTGTTTTAAACTGCAGCAAATACAAGCATAGCCTGTCCAACTCTTCCTCATGTGACAACTCCTCATTCCAGTTGTTAGTCTAATAAATCTTTTTTAAAACTGCTTAAATAAATTGTGACCAATACTGTGCACTGTATTCCAGATGTGGTCTCAAGTATCCTGTGTAACTGAAACATAATCTTTCTTTTTCTATTTAATTCCCCTCACAATAAATGATAACAGTTTATCAGCTTTCATAATTACTTGCTGTGCCTGCATGTGATTGTTTAACTTTATGCATCTCAGAACTCCAAACTCTTTCACGAGTTAGATAAATATGCTTAGTTTCCACACGCCCCCCCCCACCCCAACCTCAAAAGGGACAATTGCAATATTTTCCAACATTATACTGCACTGGCTAGGTTTTCGTCCACTTAGTGCATTTTTCATTGTAATATGGCTTCTTTTCAGTTCCAAAGAGAAGTAAGTTTGGACTTGTTTTTCTTTCTCTCTCTACAATTTCTGCCAGACCTACTGAGTTCCTCCAGCACTTTCTATTTTTATTTCAGATGACAAGACCATTAATATTTTGTGGGGAGGCACAGTGGCTCAGTGGTTAGCACTGCTGCCCAACAGCCCCACGGAGTCGGGTTTGATTCCACCCTCCCGTCCATGCGACTGTCTGTTCTCTCTGTGTCCGCGTGGCTTTCCTCCCCCAATCTAAAGATGTGCAGGCTAGCTGAATTAGCCACAGGAAATGTAGGGTTACAGGGATACGGTACACGGGGTGTTGGGCCTGGGTGGGATGTTCTTCGGAGGGTCAATGTGGACTCAATGGGCCGAATGGCCTGCTTCCACACTGTAGGGATTCTATTCTGTGAAAATCCATACGAATTAGGAACAGGAGCAAGCCACTCGGCCCATCAAGCTTGCTCCACCATTCCCTAGGATCATGGCTGATCCAACATTCTTCACATCCACTTTCCCCAGAATCCTTGATTCTCCTTCTGATCAAAAATCTGTCTCAACCTCAATTATATGTAAGAACTCTGCCCCCACAGCTCCCTGTGGAAAGGAGTTCCAAAGACTCCCAAAACCTCCAGAAGAAATTCCTTATCTCGGTGTTAAATTGGCCACTCTTTATTCCGAGACTATGCCCTCTGGCCCTCCACTCTCCTGTGGGGGGAAACGTCCTTTCAGCATTTACCCTGTCAAGCCCATTAAGAATCCGAATGATTCCACGAGGTCACCTCTCATTCTTCTAAACTCCAGTGAGTAGAGTCCCAAGCTGTTTAACCTTTGCTCATAAGACAATCCCTCCGTACCAGGGATCATCCTAATGAACCTTCTCCTGCATCCGCTGCACTTCTATTATATCCTTTTAGAATCGTAAAATCCCTACAGTGTGGAAACAGGCCCTCTGGCCCAACAAGTCCACACTAACCCTCAAAGCATCCCACCGAGACCCATCCACATCCCTGAACACTACAGCCAATTACATGGCCAATCCACCTAACTGTGGACTGTGGGAGGAAACCGGAGCACCATGTGGAAACCCACATGGACACGGGGAGAATGTGCAAACTCCACACAGTTATCCAAGGGTGAAGTCGAACCTGGGTCCCTGGCGCTGTGAGGCAGCAGTGCTAACTACTGAGCCACCGCAGCCTCCTTATTTCTTCTATGAATTAGGAACAAGCATTTTCAAAAACAAAACTAAAAAATGACGAATCATATTAATTCAGAGGGGAAAAGGTAATGTAATTTTTCCTTCAACTGTCTTGTGGTAAATGGACTTTCTAAGTAAAATTTTGTCAGCAATGTCTAAGTAAACATTAAGTTGAGATATGTAGAGTTAAGGCAATTGTTGGGACTTTGGTTATTCATGAGAATGATATTCAGAATGATTTATGGTTGTAATTATAAAAATGCCTGTGGAATTCTCTGTCACAGAAAGCCATTGAGGCCAAAACACTGATGTTTTCAAGAACGAAATGGATGTAGTTCTGACATATCAAAGGATATGGAATGAAAGTGGGAACAGGGGACTGAGATGGATGAATATCCATTATCACATTGAAAGGGAGCAGCCTCAATATCCAAATGGCCTACTCCTGTTCCCATTTTCTATGTTAAAAGTGGTTCCTCAAACTAAAGACAATATCCATAACTGTGATGTAACTGTACTACTCAAACAGATTTATGTAGACTAAATTGCAGTTTCTATTTGTATAAATAATTGTTTGAAACCATGAAGTGCAGATAATCAGCCATTTATCCCCAGAAAACGGTATCGGGGTGGGGATGATCAGATCAGCCATGATCTTCCCGAATGACAGAACTGGGCCAAGGGGCCAAGTGGCCTACTCCTACTCCTGATTCATATGTTCTTATAACCCACAGATCTCTTAACAGCACCACCAAGATTCCGGAGTCCCCTCGGTGTTACGTTCCGACAGTGCAGTGCTCCCTCAAAAAGATGGTCACTGTTTATTATCTGGGGTGTTTGTT